TTACTTCCGATAAATCACATTTTAGACCTTGGTTGCACAAGAGCAGAATAGCAAATTTTAATTTGAAGAAATTACTCATATGTTAAAGATGTCATGAAAATAACATAACAATATGTTATGAAAGAAATATGTGGGCTGCAATTGTTTGTGTGTTTCTGAGAGATGCTACCTGCCTGCTGTCATACTGATTTAATGTACCTCACCCTGGAAAAAGCATTCAGATCAGGAATTCTGTCTTCACCTACTGGTGAGTGATTCAGAAATTATTAAATCCAGAGACAGTAAAGCAGCTCAATTTTTTAGAAGAGGTTTAATACCGATATGTTAGGGGGCATTATTATGTATAGCATCATTTTTAATTAAGGGATAATGTGTGTATTCTCTAGTTACTTCTTTCCAATCCATTCCCTTACTGGGCTTTAATAGGATGAGAATGTTTCCAGTACAACAGCAAAATTGTGGGAGAAACTAATGAAAGGTACATGCTCCAAGTTAGTTTTATGGAAAAGGGTGCAGTCAGTAAATCTAGCAATTGTATAAACTCACTCTACTGCTAAATTTAATCCATACGTCTTTTTTTGCATTTTCACACAAAATGATGTGTTTCAAAGTGCAGATTCAGTATGGTGATAAACATCAATGGAGGCTGCCTGTCACTGCATCCTCTGCAAAACACAATCTTTTTCAGGCAGAATTTTGTTAGGACAATTTAACCATTTGTCACCCATTACCTGTATACTAATCTTCCTCAGCAGTATGCACAACTCCTGACCAGCGGAAACAGTATATTCTCAACTTGGTTTAGTTTTATTAAATAGTTGGGTCAGTAGATAGGTTAGACTGCTGTTCGTTATATGGTTAAAAATATGTAAAACACTCCTCTAAAGAAAGACACATACTTTTAGGCCAAAATGTATTCTGTTACATTAATTGGTTTGTGCGAAGGTTATAAAATTATAGCATCTACAAGCTATGGTAGTCCAGTGGTAGTCCAGTTTGGCCAGTGGTAGTCCTGAGTGGGATAACTTCTAAAAGAAGACTCAGTCTGCCATTTGTACTTGTCCGTGCATACAGACTTGTCACGGATCCAGCCCACACGCACACATCCACAGCGACTAGCTAACTGAGGCATGCACGTCTGGCCGTGACTTTGGGTAAAAAGGAATTAGGGGGACTTACTTTGAATATACTGTATATATAAGACCAGCCGTGATATACTTTCACAGCCCGCACTACATCTGGCCACCACTAGAGGGAGACTCCACTCCAATCCAGCTGGCTGACCACACACACAGGCAGATATACAATCTGGTGCACACTAAGGGTTTAGGAGCAGCCTAGCGATTGGCACACCCTTCTAGGATTCCTCCAGCTATCCTACATGCTAGAGTGTTAATCACTCTTTCACTGTCCACACACCCCCACACCAGACAAACCACAAACAGTAGCTTGCCACCACCCAACAATTTATCCACATACTGGTCTGCTGGGCCACCACACACACAGCTATCCTACTTTACAACCTGCATGCAATCTGCCAACACGCAGTGCAATTGCGTACAGATAGGCAATGAACTTGACCGAGCGTATAAAGACACTGCAATACAATACAATCTAATCTCTCTGGATATATGAGCCCGAGCTTAAGTACCCAGAAGTCACTTATTAATTTTATGATTTAATATCCCGAAAGTGGGCAGTGCATAAAATATGTACAAAGTATAAAGAGTTACAAATAATACAGAAAATACAAGAAGACACACAATTGGCTATTGACTATAAAATAAAAGGGAATAAAAACAGAAATAAAACATTTACCAAGAGTTATCCTGCAACTGGAGCAAGTCATAGAAAGTCTGTGATCCGCCAGTCAATAGAACCGGCTGCGTACAAAACACACCGTCCATATCCCAGGTCCAGGGGCGGACTGACCATTTGGAAACTCGGGCACTGCCCGAGGGCCCGGGTCAGTAGGGGGCCCCATGAGATGCCCCTGGTACCTTTTTATAGGCTTTTTTGAGTTTGGACAAGGACACAGGGGCCCCATGATCCCCTATTGCCTGGGGGCCCCATGAGTTGTCAGTCCGCCCCTGCCCAGGTCCTCAATTTATGGGAATATGGACGTAGGCTGGACATTAGCCCTTGGCCAATCAACTCTGGGGGGTGTTCCTGTACCAGCCCACAGGACGTTCTAGGTACTGAAATGCCAAAAGTCGATTGGACCAGGAATGGTATGAATCACCAAGTCAGTAATAGAATTTCCAACACCAGCGCATCAGTCTGATCGCGACAGTACCAATCACTGTTCAGCTGTCACAATCAGGTGCCATGTAACCATTTTCTGTGTTTCTCTGGGATTCTTCATAGGCTACAAATACAGTTTTACATGCAGATGTAGCCTACAGTGTGTCCAATCAGAAGGAAGTATTTTCATCTCTCTGCAACTAATATTTTAGTTTTTATGAGAGATTAAATACATTCCTTTGATCTGCTGATATACTTTAGAGCTCCTAGACAGATCGGAGCCCTCTCTTGCCTCTGAAGCCGAAATGTCTAGAAGTAGGTGACAAGTCTTATTGGCATCTAGGTGTCACCTCCAGCCTAGGGGATGCTCTGTCCTTTCAGATGCTAATTGGTGACCATATGTCTTTGACTGAATTCTGAACCTATCTTATTATTAATATGGAATGAGCTAAATCTACAATGTCATATTTCTACAGATCACATCTCAGCTACTCAAATCTTACATGTACGTTACAAGACTGTTCAAGGAGGCTTATCAAAGTGAAATATTCACTGAATCTGGAGTAAGAGAAAACAGGGAATAAGAAAGGATGCACATTATTATTGTCCTTGATGCAGCTACTGCAGAAGAGCTCCTGAGTCGCAAGATTCATTGTGCACAAGTAAAGGGGCTATATCTTTAGACAATCATTTATCATCCAGTTCAAACAAGATGCTATTACATGTGTTTGCAGTCTTAGTCACAATGCACAGAAAACTAGTTTGATAAACATGCCAAATTCTACAGTAGTAGATTTTTTTAATCCCCTGATTCAGTGTGCACAGGGAGGGACAGGGTCTGTAGTTACAGTAAGTGCCAGTTCACATATATGCGGATTGGATGCGGTTTGATCTGCATCCAATCCGCATGTCATGTGAAAAAACATTGCTTCCTATGGTGCCTGTTCACATATGTCGAATGCACTAGCAAAAGACTCATGTCCAATTTCTGTGCAATGCAGTCTGGTTCAGGTGCAGATTACAGGCTATGGACTTCTATGAAAACCATTTCTAAACCATATATGTGTGAACAAGATATGATCCTGAGCAAATCCTTTCCTGAACCTGATATAAACCTGATGTAAACCTGTGAACAGCTACTGTATCAATCAGCTGTGAAATCTGAGCTTCAATCTGCACCACACATGTGTGAATCAGCTCTTACTCCCTATGAACTAGATAAAACTGGTTCTATGACAGTTGTGTGCATTAAATAGTGCACAACAACTGTAATTGACACCCTCTGTATTGCAGAGGGTTTGTCTAAGACATTTGCCAGATCTTATGAAGGGCTGGGCACAAGGGTCTGGTGAAAAGACATTTAATCCTCCACATAAAGAAAGGCTTCTTCATACTAAGAGCTATGAACATGCGGAAATGATTCCCTCAAAACTTGCTCTGGCCAGTTCAGTAGATTGTTTTTTTTTTTTTTTAAAGCAATGGAGCTGGATGCATTCCTAAATGCGCAAAGAAAAACTGTATAATAACATTTATAGGCAATAAACACCAGAGATTGTTGATCCAGGAAATATCCAATTTGCTCCCAGGGATCAGGAAGAAATTGTTTTCTCCCCTGCTGGAGCAAATTGGGCTAGGCTTTATTTTTTTTTTTTTTTTGCCTTCCTCTTGATCAACCCTGGGTAAAAAAATGTGTATGTGGATGTTTTCTGTTGGTTTCTATTTATTACATTGGTTCAACTAGAGGGACTTGTGTCTTTCTTTAGCCTAATTTACCACTGTGAAAGTCTGTCCATACAGAATGTAAAAAAATACAGTAAAGTGCAATTGTATTGTTCGAGAATTTTTTGTTATGATTTTGTCTTTTATCAGGTTACATTCAGAAAATAATCAAATAACAGTGCTAGAAATACAGTTAGTAAAGAGAATGAATAAAATATAGTGCTGTTGCGCTTAGGAATAAATATTCATGCAACTTTGATAAGTATACGCTGCAGTTCTAATTTGTGAACCAATAACAAACAAAATACCATGTGGACCACGCATAAATTAAGTGCATTAATTTTGACAATACATAAGTAATAATGTTTCACATATACAAAGTGAATAATTGTAACATTCAGTCCAAATTCGGAAAAATAGAGTGCCCAAGTGTTGAATACTAATTGGTGAACTTTGTGCAAAAAATGACAAGTGCTCCTGTGTGCTCAATCGGTGCCCCACATGGATGTGCACTCACCGTTAGCCATGGACCATATCTCTAGGTTGGTCTTAAGCGCTTGGTTTGGGACTAGCCCAATGCGTTATGGCAAAAATGGCATCAATATTCATTCCTGAGAATCATGCGATCTGGCTGATAGTAACCAATAGGATGATGACCAGTGTGGATATTAATGACAGTGTAGTTTCAAAAGAGCCTTTTTAAACTTTCTCCTCTGCTCCCAGGCAGTAAACCAAGTTTCAGCATGTGATCAAAAACAAACGCAATCATCCCATAGTGTAAAACCATAAAAAACTTTAATTATGGGGAGAAATTATAAGAATAAAACTCACAAGCAAAGTGCCCATAACCTGGCACTCAGTGTATTCAGCCTTGCTGCCTGTGAATAGGAAACAAGATGGCCACAGTGTCCAACATGCGTATCAAAGGGCGGAAATGACGTCAGCATAAATTGCGTCTTTAAATGTCCACTAGTTTCGATTAGAGATGAGCGAAGTATTCAAAAATTCGATTTGGCTGATTCGGCGAATTCGAGGAATAAATTTGATTCGATGCGAATATATTTGCTGCGAATTTAAAATAATACTGTCAGTCAGTATGACATGCAGATGAGTGCCGTCGATCTTAGAATCACCGCACACTTCACTCATTTGGGCAGTCACGGGCCAAAACCAGAGTGTGTGGAGCCACAGTGTGGCGGTGGAGGCAGCAGCAATGGGAGGCCATACAGCACCCTATGACAAAATGGAACCCACCAGCAGTGTGAGGAGACCTGAAAGTGGCACATGGCAGAGTGTGGCGATGGAGACAGCAGCAATGGGAGGCCGTACAGGGACCCATGAGACACTCTGGACCTGGCAGCAGCATGAGGAGGTGGTACAGGGGCCCATGACAGATTACGGGCCTGGCAGCAGCATGAGGAGTCGGTACGGGGGCCCATGGCAGATTACGGGCCTGGCAGCAGCAATGGGAGGCCCGTAATCTGCCAGCACCCTATGACAAAATGGAACCCACCAGCAGTGTGAGGAGACCTGAAAGTGGCACATGGCAGAGTGTGGCGATGGAGACAGCAGCAATGGGAGGCCGTACAGGGACCCATGAGACACTCTGGACCTGGCAGCAGCATGAGGAGGCGGTACAGGGGCCCATGGCAGATTACGGGCCTAGGAGCAGCATGAGGAGTCGGTACGGGGGCCCATGGCAGATTACGGGCCTGGCAGCAGCAATGGGAGGCCCGTAATCTGCCAGCACCCTATGACAAAATGGAACCCACCAGCAGTGTGAGGAGACCTGAAAGTGGCACATGGCAGAGTGCGGCGATGGAGACAGCAGCAATGGGAGGCCGTACAGGGACCGATGAGACACTCTGGACCTGGCAGCAGCATGAGGAGGCGGTACAGGGGCCCATGGCAGATTACGGGCCTGGCAGCAGCAATGGGAGGCCCGTAATCTGCCAGCACCCTATGACAAAATGGAACCCACCAGCAGTGTGAGGAGACCTGAAAGTGGCACATGGCAGAGTGTGGCGATGGAGACAGCAGCAATGGGAGGCCGTACAGGGACCCATGAGACACTCTGGACCTGGCAGCAGCATGAGGAGGTGGTACAGGGGCCCATGACAGATTACGGGCCTGGCAGCAGCATGAGGAGTTGGTACGGGGGCCCATGGCAGATTACGGGCCTGGCAGCAGCAATGGGAGGCCCGTAATCTGCCAGCACCCTATGACAAAATGGAACCCACCAGCAGTGTGAGGAGACCTGAAAGTGGCACATGGCAGAGTGTGGCGATGGAGACAGCAGCAATGGGAGGCCGTACAGGGACCCATGAGACACTCTGGACCTGGCAGCAGCATGAGGAGGCGGTACAGGGGCCCATGGCAGATTACGGGCCTAGGAGCAGCATGAGGAGTCGGTACGGGGGCCCATGGCAGATTACGGGCCTGGCAGCAGCAATGGGAGGCCCGTAATCTGCCAGCACCCTATGACAAAATGGAACCCACCAGCAGTGTGAGGAGACCTGAAAGTGGCACATGGCAGAGTGTGGCGATGGAGACAGCAGCAATGGGAGGCCGTACAGGGTACCATGAGACAGACCTGGCAGCAGCTACAGAGGGCATGGCACCGGGCACTGGCAATGAGGATGTATTACGGGCCTGGCAGCAGCAATGGGAGCCCCTAATGCACCCTATGACAAAAGAACCCACGGGACCTGAAAGCAGCATGTGTGGCGATGGAGAGCAGGTACGGGGGCCCATGAGGAGGCGGTACAGGGGCCCATACGGGCCTGGCAGCAGCAATGGAGGCCCGTAAATCTGCCAGCACCCTATGACAAAATGGAACCCACCAGCAGCAGTGTGAGGAGACCTGAAAGTGGCACATGGCAGAGTGTGGCGATGGAGACAGCAGCAATGGGAGGCCGTACAGGGACCCATGACACACTCTGGACCTGGCAGCAGCATGAGGAGGCGGTACGGGGGGCCCATGGCAGATTACGGGCCTGGCAGCAGCAACGCCTGGGCAGCAATGGGAGGCCCGTAATCTGCCAGCACCCTATGACAAAATGGAACCCACCAGCAGTGTGAGGAGACCTGAAAGTGGCACATGGCAGAGTTACGGGCGATGGAGACAGCAGCAATGGGAGGCCCGTACAGGGACCCATGAGACACTCTGGACCTGGCAGCAGCATGAGGAGGCGGTACGGGGCCCATGGCAGATTACAAAGGGGCCTGGCAGCAGCAATGGGAGGCCCGTAATCTGCCAGCACCCTATGACAAAATGGAACCCACCAGCAGTGTGAGGAGACCTGAAAGTGGCACATGGCAGAGTGTGGCGATGGAGACAGCAGCAATGGGAGGCCCGTACAGGGACCCATGACACACTCTGGACCTGGCAGCAGCAGAGGAGGCGGTACAGGGGCCCATGGCAGAGAGGGCGAAGCGTAAGCAGGCTTAATGAAGGCCAGCACAGAGGCCTATGTTAAAAATAATAACATGTTTGAGGGACCTGATCAGTGGGATTTAGTCAGTTGTGTCAGGAACTGGTGGTTTGTACAAATCCTGGACTAATCCACGCGTCAGATTCATTTTCACAAACGTGATGGTCTCTCCCACACTTTGGGTGGACAGTCGTGTCCTCCGCGGAGTTACAATACCTCCTGCCGCACTAAACACGCGCTCCGATGCCACGCTACTGGCCGGGCATGACAGCCTTTCAAGGGCAAATTCAGCTAGTTGGGGCCAAAGGTCAAGTTTCGTTGCCCAGTAGTCAAGGGGATTGTCTACCTCGGTTGGCAGGGTGCTGTCCAAGTAGGCCCAAGCCTGTTGTTTGAGGTCCTGCTCCAGGTCCACCTGATGCTGCTGCTGCTGCGGCTGGTTAGTAGTTTCCTCACTGCGCTGGTGAAGAAAGCTACTCATCATCGACTGCAGACTGAGGCAGCCGCTGCTGGTGGAGCTGCCACTGCTCCTACACACCCCACCCCTCCCCTGCTGCCATGGCAGCGGAACGCGAGCGCACAGGGCCCACAGTGTCTGAGGATGGACATTGGCGCAGAAAGGCAGAGACCAACTGACTACATAGGTGGTTTTTATAGTACGTTATTTTGGCCTCCCTCTCAGCAGGTGTGAAAAAGGCCACCATTTTTGAACGGTAGCGAGGGTCCAACAAGGTGGACAGCCAAAAGTCATCCCTCTGTCTGATGGTTATTATTCGGCTGTCGCTACGCAAGCAACCGAGCATGCTATGGGCCATTTGTGCCAAGGAATGCGAGGGACTCCCTGCCTCCATCTCCACAGCATACTGCCACGGTGCGTCTGGGTCCTCTGTCTCCTCCTCCTCCTCCTCTACCAGATGCTCCTGCTCCTCCACTCCGCTGAGTGGAAAAACCCACCCATTTCACTCAATAATTCCTGAGCACCAATGTCCTCCTCTACCTCCTCCTCTTCTTCCTGTCCTGCCCCACAGGGGTCATGTGGCGTTGAGATCTGTGCGCCACGTCTACCGCACCCTGACCAGCCATTGTTAACAGCATTTGTTCCAGGACGTGCAACAGAGGAATGACGTCGTTCATCCCATAGTCCTGCCGACTCACAAATAGCGTGGCCTCCTCAAAGGGCCTGAGCAAGCGGCAGGTGTCACGCATGAGCTGCCAATGGCTGACATCTAAGTTACACAGGGAGTACCTTTATCCGCTTGTAACATCAGGAAATCGGTGATGGCCTTTTGCTGTTCGTAAAGGCGGTCTAACATATGTAGGGTTGAATTCCACCTTGTTGCAACGTCGCAGATCAGGCGATGCTGTGGAATTCCGTTCTGCCGCTGCAGCTCAAGGAGGGTGTGCTTTGCGGTGTAGGAATGGCTGAAATGCATGCAAAGTTTACGTGACATTTTAAGGATGTCTTGCAGTGGGATGGTGGATTTTAGGAACCGCTTGACAACCAGATTGAACACGTGAGCCATGCATGGCGCATGGCACAACCTTCCTTGACGCAGAGCAGACACCATGTTCTTTCCGTTGTCGGTCAACATGGTTCCGATTTTCAGTTTGCACGGAGACAGCCATCTGTCGATTTCTCTGTTCATTACACTCAGAAGTTCCTCCCCTGTGTGACTACGTTCGCCAAGGCATACCAGGTGCAGCACAGCGTGACACCGTTGCGCCCTGCACATGTGATATGCCGGTCGGGTAATGGGACTTGGCACGGGGGTGGCGGCTGAGGACACGGCGGAAGAAGAGGTGGTAGAGGTGGACATCTTTGCTGGACCAAGGACGTGCAAACGTGGAGGCAAAAGCGGCGTGACCTGTCCAAGTTGCTGGTGCGGCTGTGCTGGCACCACGTTCACCCAGTGGGCCGTAAATGACATGTACTGTCCCTGACCGTAGTTACAGCTCCACACGTCGGCGCTGCCGTGCACTTTGGCAGAGACCGACATGCTCAAAGACTGGCCCACCATCTCTTCTACATGTGAATGCAGGGCTGGCACTGCCTTTTTGGCGAAGAAATGCCGGCTTGGCACTCTCCACCGCGGCTCGGCACAAGCCATCATTTCTCGGAAAGGTGCTGAGTCCACCACTTGGAAAGGGAGGGACTGCAGCACCAGCAACTTGGACAGGAGGACATTCAGCTTCTGCACCGTCGGGTGCGTGCTCGCAAACTGTTGTCTCTTGGAAACGGATTCCAAGAAAGACTGCTGACAGAATCCGTGAAGAGGAGTAGCAGGAGAAGGAGCATCTGAACGAGCGGAAGATGCCAACGAGCGACAACTCCCCTCAGCAGAGGTGTTGGAGCCTTGACTGGCTGATAGAGGGCGATTGATGTCGGGTGACGGAGCAAGTAACGGAGCGGGTGATGGAGCGGGGGCTGGGGCAGGCAGAACCGCCGTATCTTTATCACGGTTTTCCCAGGCCACCGAATGGCGACGCTGCATATGCTGACGCAACGCTGTAGTCCCAACATTGGCCCCCTGGCCACGCTTGACTTTCTGGCCACATAGTCGACATACGGCTACGTTTACTTCCTCGGGCGGCTTGACGAAAAATTGCCACACCGCCGAGTAGAGTAGGAAACTTTGCCCCCGCTACTCCTCACTGGCTGACTGCTACTTCCTCCGTGCACACCGGCACCACTACTGGCCGTGGTGGTAGGCTGCAGTGGAGCTGGTGCTCTACTCCGTGGCCGTTTGCCTCCACTGACACTGCTGCGACCCTGCTGCCTCCTGGGCAACCCACCGACTGTTTTGCTCGCTGCCAAGCTGGCACCCTCTTCTCCTGATGATGCGGAAGCAATAGCCTGATGACGACGAGGCTGCCAAGTGCGATCAGCCTCATCATCATCAATTAGGGTCTGTCTCCTGACCCCCTCGGCTGCGTGTGGGTCAGGAGACAGACCTGTCTCTAGACCGGCTACCGAGCCACTCTCCTCGCCAGTACTTCTTCGCCTGGCTGCTGAAGAGGCGGATGTCTCCCCCCGTTCCTGACCGCCCTCTGTTAGCTCTTCCTCACTGTACAGTGGGGCTGAGCCCACAGCATGCGATACTTCGCTTGGTGAGGGAACACCAAAGGACAGGGGCAGGTAGAGGACACGTGATTTCAGTGGGCTTGCTCCCGGGCCATGCCAACTAACGGTTGTGTCTGACGTACCCACCGACCGTTG